AAAGTCTAGCATCCATATTCAATAACTGGTTGAATTAACTCTCTTTCTAGCATTACCATCATTTTCTTATCCATTTCCCAGGATGTTCCAGGGATGCTTTTAAGTGCAAAAGTGGAATTAACATACTTATCCTTAATATTTTCAATATGGTCCCTCCAAGCGAGCTTGTTATCAAATAGCACATAAGAATTTGTGATTTATTTTCACTATATTTATCAGCCCACTTCTGTTCTCAGTTTCCTGGCTTTATACAAACTTAGCCTGCCCCTGCCCAGCTGAACTTTATCATCAATTAGCCTTTCAGGCCTTGGCCCTCCCCCAGTTGCAGCCTAAAAACCTGATGCGCCTTATATGGAGTGAACCCTGCATCACAGCTACCATCTTCAGGAGCTCAGATTAATTGGCATGGGGGAAAAAGAGAAAATGCTGGGACCCATTATTACTGTTACTGCGTAGGATACATGAGTGGAATGCTGTTCCAGCAGTGTAAGTAGTTTGCTCTGGAGGAACATTTTCTTGTGCTACAGCCAGGGATTAACTTGAGTGAGCATTACCTATTGAAATCTAGCTCTGAGTGAGAATTTCTACTTGTCAGAGTAAATTCAGAAGCATTACTTCCCTATAGTTGTTTGGAAGGTAGTTGATTATCTGTGATCATTAGAAAGAGGTGAACCTTATGGAGTGATAATAACTTCTAAATGCCATATTTATTTCAGTGGTGTAGCCAGGTGGGTCCCAAGATATGAGAGAGATAAGGCGGGTGAGGTAATAACTTTTATTGGACCAACTTCTGTTGGTGAGAGACAAGCTTTCGATCTGCACAGAGCTCCTCTTTGGGTCTGGGAAAGGTGCTCAGAGAAGAAGAGTTCTGGGTGAGCTCAAAAGCTTGTCATCTTCACCAACCGAAGTTGGTCCAATAAAAGATATTACCTCACCCACCTTGTGTGTCTCATATTTATTTCATTCAGTAGAAAACAGCCCCAAGGCAAGTGTAGTTTTATCTTGCTGGAGAGGAGTTAAATCAAACTGCCAATTTGGGCCTTGTTAAACGTGTGTGGCCAGTTTCAAAATTATCTGAAAATGCATTTGTAACACTTCCCAGGGGTAGCCAGGGTTGTGAGACAACTCACTACTACCTGCCTTTAGCGGGACAGATCCTGGTCTATATCTGCTAGGGCTCAGCTCCCTGATAACCCTAGCCACGGGCAGCACAAGTACTCCCCTCACAGACCCTGGGGGCTCTGCTGTCCCTCTGCAGGCAAGCAATAGGCTCACAACAACTTCCAAGTGTAACTCTGGAGTGCCCAGCCCCTGTTCCACTGAACACTCTCACAGAACTCTGATTCTCTACTCCTCAAGGAATATTACACACCAGTTTACCAGTTTTACGTTAAGGTTACCACTCTGCTTACCTCACAGCACTTAGATATAGTAATAGTGAAAACAGGACTGTGTTTATTGTTAAAGAGCAGAGATTCAAATGAGAATATTGGAAACAAATGGTTACATGTAAAACAAAATCAGAACATGCTTGCTAGAGCCTAAACTTAACTCACAGGACACTCCCTATCTCCTGCAGAATATCTTACCCAAGTCCTTTTCCCAGCATTTTCAGCCATGTTGGTTGAGACGATTCCCCTCCCCACTTCTGTAAAAACAAACCCACTGTCAACTTGTCCTCTCAGTTTGAAGGGGTTTGAACCTCAGGGTTCATCTGCACCCTAGATATGCCCAACCACACCTTTGATGTTCACCTGAAAATAGTGTTTCCCCACCCCCAACACCACTGTTTACCTCTTCCTGTTAATTTCCTTCTGAAGTCTCTGCAAGCTCTTCATTAGCATTTAACTCAATATGCTAATAGACTTCTAGTGTAAGATACTTCTTTCCCTGGTGGATCATTGTATATCTTCCACCTCCTGTCTGGAGCAGTTTGTCTCAAGATAGGCTGCCTTTGAATGAGCTACCTTTAGCTACAAAGCCTAGAGAACATAATTTTCAGCTTATATACATAACTCCTTCCACATTTTCTGTAAGTACATATCTCAATGATTATGACAACCAGTATGGCACAGGCTTTCAGTAGAGAACATACATGGCCCTGTACCCATATGTACTCCTGTACTCTCTGACAGTTGGCATCAAGGAAGTCCTTGAGTCACAGTGTTGTCCTTTGTTACATTTTCCATACACACATGCTTTCTGTTTGAATTACATCTGTATGGGGGGAATTATGTATTCATTGTTTTACAGACTTTGGATGGAAAATGCCTAACCATGATCTAGAGCAAACAAGTGACTTGGGGAATCTCATAAAGGAAATGTGTAGTATGTCATTAAAATTGCATTGAAATTAAGGATAATTCATTACACTTTGTGAACAAAATCTAAACTTATAGTTGCATTTTAGGGGGGTGAAGAGAAAGAAACAAGCCACTACATTACTTTTATATTAATTTTCATTTTCAATTACCTTTAGATTTAAATGAAAGAAAATATAGATGATAAACTACAATCCTTCAAATTATGGCATTATAAAAGAATTGTGAAAATATCATGGATAGAAGCATATCTAACAAAAAAAAGTACTGGAAATTATTAGAACTTCACAAATGCTAGGCAGAAATCTTATTAAAAGAAAGATTTGATTTGCAGGGCATATTTTAAGAGGTTCAGTGGGTGATGCAGGCTTACGGGCACTGGAAGGGAAAATTGATGGCAGAAGAACATGAGGCAGAAAAAGATCTTGGATGGATGATGTGGTATCCCAGTTGGTTCAAAAGAACTATTTATCCACAAAGAGATTACCAGAGGATTGTACAGAATGGGCTACCATGGTTGCAAACCTTCAGTGAGGGAGATGCCACATAAGAAGAAAAGGAAACAATGAGACAAAGAACAAAAGCAAAGTTTACATGAGTGCACAGTTATTGTCCTCTGTGATCGTGCTGCATCAACGCTGTCTCAAAATGGAAGTAGCCTTTGTCAGCATAGCACTCTCCTCCCGCAGCAGCTGCCAAAGGAATGGAAAAGAATCTTGACTAACTTTCATCACAACAACTGAGAGGGAGAAGTGGCTCACTGTAAGAGATGTGATTAGATGGTCATAGGTAGAACATGGGCTCCATTCTGTTTTTGAGAGACTCAAAGGTGGCAGCCCTACTAGAACTAGACCAAGAAGCAGATGCTAATAGTAGGAATGGAAGCGGGTACTTGGTATATGGGGCCAAATTTATTGCTGCATTCTTCCAGTTTTATGACAGAGTAACCCCACCAATTTCAATAGACTGCTGCTCCAGGAATATAAACAGTTGCATCTGTGTAACATGGCAACAGCAGTGGTGAATCAGGCCCATGCTGTTTTATTTGGGTGGGGGGAGGTTTTCGATGACTTGAGAACATAATTGAAAATCCCACCATGGAATATTCAGCTTTACAAAGGAAGATATTGGGGGTGTAAAAAAATGTCTTGAGCCAAGAGAAGCATGTTATCCCCAAGTAAATCCATACTTCCTTCATCCTCGTGAGCTGCACTCCAGGAGAGACTGAAGCAATAAAAATAAAACGAATTAAACAGCAGCAGGATTGATCACAACTGGTTTGACAGCTAACAAAATAATTGCATGGCCAATTTTTTTTTGAAGTGTATACAGGAGATAAGATTCAGCAGACCAAAACAGAATGGACTAGATTATACCAATGGGACTACATTACTTTCCTCTCTACCCACCTTGCTTTTCTTCAGCAGTGTGTTTTAATTTCTTAGAGCACAAAGGCGCTTATGCTCATGTTGGGTGCTCTTTAATGAGGTACAGAAAATGGATAAAAAGTTACCCACTTCTTTAACATGCCCCAAGAAGGAGTTCATTCTTCCTCTTTATTCTTGCTCTATTCCTCCCTTCACCCCAGGCAAATGAAGCTGTTCCTTAAATGCCCACCCAAACACACGCTTCATTGATAGCATCTTGCTTCTTGCCTCACCTTAGCCCTACCTCCCATTCTGCCGTCTCCAGTTCTCCTTGCTTATTCCTCCTCAACCTGATCTACCTTGCCCTGCTACTCCTGGACTAAGGGTGGAGATGGAAACCATGAGCATGGAGATTGGGTAAGACTTTTCCCCATAGTCCCAATTTGCCCCACTACCAGGCACTCAGAGCCCCATCCTCCTCTCTAGCATAGGATCCCCCAGAACCTCTTCTCAAATCCTAGCAACAAAGTCAGTTCCCAAAGTGGAATTAGCCAGTATTAACGGTTAATCTGGATTTTCCAATACTCTAAAATCAGCAGTATTCCCAGGTCAACATACTGTTCATTTGTTAGTGTATTACACTAATGTTGTATATTTCATTATAAAACTGTCAGTAAGTGTTACTTATAAAATATATTTATTGTAAGCTCTTTGGACCATATTTTCATATGTGTTTGTATAGTATCTACTACAACAGAGCTCCAATCTTGATTGGGGTCTCTGGATGCTGCTGTAACAGAAACATTAAATAATTTTGTAGGGAGACTCATTGCAACAGGAAAAGAACATTTTGCAACTCTGAGTGTGAAGTATGAATATTTTATTTCTGTTTGAACAGTGAATGACAGTCCCTGGAATTGGTTCTGGAATCATTTGAATAAGATTTAATTCATTACAGCTGTGTGTTTTCTTTTGGATCCTTATGTCTTGCTCCATTTGCATGCCAGCTAACAGTCAGACAAAATCCCATTTGTAAATCTCTGCTAGGCATGTGTGATCCTAATAAGTTGCAGACTTTTTTTTTAATAGCAAAAGTCTGATGCATTTAAGTCACGTCTCACCCAGTTTGGTATTCCAAAAGTAAATAAATTTGGAAATTCACTGACAAAAATCTTTAAGACACCATTAAGATTGCCTGGTGATATGTCATGCCCTTCCAGAACATCAACTTCAGCAGAAATCAAACTCCTGAAAACCAGAAAATACAGAGTTAAGATGTACACCCACACAACCTTAACTCTGCCACCCCCACCTCTGCTTTGCCCTGGAGGTGGCAATAGCCACCTGGGATTTATCTACATGAACTCTAGCTGCATTCACTGTATTAGGTATCACCATATTGAGTGGTGGAAGGATTAGTTGGAGCAACTAGGCAGAGCTGTGACTGTGATATGAGGATCCCCTCTCCCTGCCCCCCATGTGTGATCAAAGGAAAGAGGTGCGTGTGTATCCTGAAACTTGATGCCAGTTGAGAGGCAAAGGCTCACATTGACACACTCCATGTGTGACCGCTGCCAAACTGGCCAACACACCAGAGCCCAGAGCAAGAACTGCTACAGCTTGAGCGAAAGCTCTTGAGCTGGGCATCTAATGGACTCATATAGTCTGCAGATCAGGCACAGAGAGAGCCTGTCATAAACGTTTGCTTGTCGGTTACATCTGCACAGAGTGAGCCTTGGACTTGAGTGTTGAAACTGGATGAGGTACTTGTATATGAGACTTTTGAGGCCAGGAGACTAAAATCTGACAATTCTTGCAGTTGCTGTAATGGTCTGGGAGATGGCCGGTAGGGGTTACTGATATTTATTATTTATCTTATTATAAAAAAAGACTCAAAACCACCTTTTCAATTTGTCCTCCCAGACAAACTCATTACATCACAATAGCATCCAATTTACATCATCGTTGCATCCTGCCATCTTGCATCAAAGTGCCACAATGTACCATCCATTGATGTTGTGAAGGCTCCCTTCAAAAAAAAAAAAAAAAAAAAAAAAAAGGGTGGGGATGAGGGCTTCTGGTATTCTGCAGGCTTCTGCTGAGGCACTCAAGACTAATCAATCAGAATCAGGATAATCCCAAATTGAGAGAGGATGGGTGGCAACTACTTGCAATCCAAATGACCAATCGTTAAGCAGCAACAGAACAGGAAAGCCAAATAATAGCATAGCTTTGGGGCAAAGCATAAAAATGGTGGGAGTTTTTGGGTTGTTAGTGTTTTGGTTTTTGCCACAGCTCAGCTTTGTTAGGGGAGGTCAGGGAGGAGAGAGACTGCATGGCGCAGAGCAATGATTCTCAAACTGTGATCTGTAGATTAGTAGTCCACAGAACTCTTCTATGCTCACATATTTGATTTGATGCACAACTAAGGGTCAAGACAGTGAGCTTTTGACTTTGGAAACAACTTTTGTAAAAATGATGCTAGGTAGTCAAAGCAGTTAATTACAAAGGTCTGTCCCTAGGAATAATCTTAGCTAACAGTGTGCTTTTCATTTCCCTTCATTCACTATTGAGAATATTCTCTCAGCAGGTATGTTATTCTCACAGAATGCCTTCACCACTTTAGCCAGAGATGCAAATTACGGAAAGGACAGTCTCATTTAAAACTAGGACTTTCAGAAAAGCCACCCTATTTGGATGTCTAAGACCTGATTTACACACAGTTTTTGTACTGATATAACTGTTAGTTAGCGGAGTGATTTTCCGCCCCCCAAAATAGTAATAATTATTGTGACAGATATGGCAAACTTCTGCAAGATCCTTGAAGCACCTTATAGTATTATGTTTATGTATTACTGTGAGCCAGGATTGTAGGTAACTTCTTTATGGGGGAGATGTGAAAAATCCTCCAATCCCATACAGTGTCTTTGGGGTCCGTTGTTTTAAATGCACAGTTTATGTATGATTGTGTTCTACCCCATGTAGGAGGGCTACCACCACTCCTCCAAGAACTAAAAATGGTGGGTAGTGGTGAAGGAAAATCAACCAGGTTGTAACCCAACCAGAGAAGTAACCAACTCCTGGGGAGGCTCACATATACTAGTTCAAACTAGATACTCCAGAGACCAACAGACCAAGAAAGGACTTTTGGGTGAACAGCCTGAGTTTAAACTGACTCAGGACCGCCCTTCTGGTCCAGCAGACACACCAGACCTTGTGGTCAATCCTTGCAGAATTGTTGGACGGACTTGGCCTAATGGGACCCCATAAGACTGATGGGTGACCTCTGGTAATGTTAGCACATATATAGGAACATCTATGGGTTTTAATATTTTCTGTGTAATGCTTTCACCTTATGATAAATGTGCTTGCTTATAAAAAGCAAATGTGGTAATTTATAGCTGCTGGCAATTACAGCTGGCCATAGCCTTTGAAAAGAAATCAAAGCATAAGTGCTGGCCTGGTTAGGCAGTCTGGCTTGCCAGGGATATCACAGTATAAGCAGGAAACTGTGCAGCCTGGAAAAAACCCAGTCAAAAGGAGAGAGATGACAGCTGAGGAGCTGGTAGCCTGTGGATGCCTTTGGTGAACCACAGAGGGGCAATACAGGGGCAGATGCCCTGCTCCGTGACAGTTATATGGTTAAAACCCCTAGTACGGACACAGTAGTACTGGTTTAAAGGTGCTTTAAACACATATAGCTTATTCCCTTTCCCATACTATAAGCACATTTGTACTGGTATAACTGCATCTACAGTGGGCAGATTTACCACTTTACACTGCTATAGTGAAGGATATACAATTTTCTAGTGAAGACAAGGCCAAGAAGTCTCTTAAACTCCTTTGAAAACCCCAGCCTAACTAAAGAGTTGAAAAGTTTTTATCCATGTTTCCTGAATTATTGCCTTAATTTTTCTGACAATCTGGTAATTTCTTATCACTGTTTTAAGCAATAAAGTATTTGTGAAACAGATCGTTCCCTTTGCATTAATTTCTCAAGAAAACCCCAGACTTTTCAACTGCACATGGCAAAATTTTGCAGTATTATGAATGATGTTGTCTCTCACATTAAGATATTACATGCATATGTGAAACATAAATTCACCTGTTTCTTCAATTTGGTTATCACAGTCATTATTCTGTTTAGTTTAATTTCAGTGCACCAGGGCCACTGTCTAGTCTGTTTCACCAATGTAACTGAGATCAGAATTTGGACCTTAAAATTGAACCGCTCTGTTGTTATGATTTTATTTGGTTCACAATATTTTTGCAAACTCAAGCCACACAGTTACAGGAAATTAAACTTAAATGGCGCAACAGAACCCCAGCACTTTCTATGATTCTGTCAAATTAGGAAGGCATCTTAAAATTGCATGAGCTAATTTCCTCCTTAGATTGACACACAGCATTCTTGCCATCAAGCAACCATGTCAAGATGTCTTGCACAGCTTGTGTAACACTAATAGAAAAATTAGTATACGTAGCAAGAGCAGTACGTGGAAGATGATTTTATTTGCTTTGGCTGAACACCCTCACTGCTCCCTGGGGACACTGACGTGTGCTCATGTAATCGTTTTTGCTGTTTCACATAATAAGGCTTTTTCTAACAATAGGAATGAGATATTCTGCATGAACAGCTGAACCACAAAGTATGTTGTTGGCTTTTTTTAATGTCAAGGACCAGTAAACAAGCCCATTCTGGATAGTTAGCTGTTTATTGGTGACCTGAAAGGAGGGAAAATTGAGTTTGTGCCATTCCTTGCTTATAACGGGGATCTTTTCAAAATAGAAGTTGGTTGTTTTTTTTCCAGATTATTTACCTTAGAAATATTGACTCTTTTGATTAAAAAATGATCACACCCTTCAAATAAGAGCAGAGAAATCTCTCACTCCACAGGTCCTCCAGTAGAGTAAGACTTTGGAGTAAACAAGCGAAGAAAACCCAATTCCTGTTCTTCCAACTATGTCTCGGGTGTCTGCATTAAAAAGACATTTTCAAAGAGAATTTTTTCAGAGCTGAGGTCTGGCCTCCCCTTATGCAACTGCAGTTTGCATCATCAAAAACAGCACCCTCATTTGTATCTACAACCAGGTATTCAGAGGTGCAAGTATCCATATTTGAAATACAAGGACTCTGCAGATGTATTCAATATAAGACATACCAATGCCCTGCCCCCACACAGAACTTATGACTGCCTCATAGATCTCCAATCAGGGACTAAAACCCATTTGGCCAAACTTACCCTTTGTCACAACCTGAACTTGTGGCCCTACGGGAATACCTTTATGAAAATCTAGCAAAGAATTGTATCCATCCTTCTAGATCCCCTGCCAGGGCCCCAATCCTGTTTGTGAAGAAAAGGGAAAGTACCCTGCGCCATTGTGTAGATGAACAAGCTTTGAACACTATCACCATCAAGAATAAATATTCCTTGCTATTGCTCAATGAACTACTGGAGAGGATTGGCTCACCAAAAATTTTCCAAATGTGGCACCTATATCCTGGTCTGCATCCAACAGGGCAATCAATGGAACAAACAGCCTTTTGTACTCAGTATGGAAATCTCATACTTTATGGTCTCTGTAATGCCTCCGCCACATTCCAGTACTTGTATCCCATTTTTGGACAGAATTATTCAAACTCCTGGAAGTCCCTTCTATCCCAGTTATAGTTTCTGCCCCCAATTTCAACCATCCATATCACCAATCACCCACATCTTTAAGGTCTCTAATTTGTTTCAACACATCCATCACATCCAAGGGGAATTAAAATCACACTTAAACTCAGCCAAGGAGGACTACAAACAATATGCTGACCTCCATCAACAGAAGTCTTCTTCCGTGTCAGTCAGAGACAAGATGTGGCTCTCAACTCAGCCCTTGGATTCCTTTCAGTCCTTAAGGAAACTAGATCACCATTAGCTTGGCCCATTCTGGATCAGCCAACAGATCAATCTGGTAGCCTTAAAGTTCCAGTTACCCCATACTATGAAAATACATCCAGTATTCCATGTTTCCTTGTTAAGACGTATGTGGATAATACACAAACAACCCCCTCATCATGGTTCAGTGGCAGGAAGAATACCTGGCAATTTCCTGCAGTATCCTTGAAAAATCTTATTGAATTAAGTTTAAGTATATTTGGATTCCACTGTATTAAATGCAAAGGTTATGTATTGTTGTGAGTCTGGATGATCAAGGGACTATATTGAACAATTTGGCAGATAAGAATCGTCTTTTTTGACCATACATATGAAGATTTCCTGGGCAATATCTAGGGGAGATGAATGCAAATTCCCTACTCCCAGTTATACAAAAACCCAACCTTTTGAAGCTATAGCCTGAGGAGTTGGCCTTTGTCTGTTTATTACCCGTTCCTGGAGTCCCAAGATCACATGCTCAAACTGTATAAAGAAAAGACTACCCCATTCATAGGGGTGTGAGTTCTCAGGTAAGGCTGTTATGAACTTGTAACCATAGAAACACCCTTCTGTGTGACTGGAAGGACTGACTCTTATCAGAACCCTTATTGGAGGTGAAGGTGATCTCTGGTAACTTATTAGCATGTGTGTAGGTTCTTTTATTGTTTTTAATATTTTTTTCTGTAATGCTTTCACCTTAAGAATCAATGTGCTTGCTTAGAAAGTACTTGTGTGGTAACTTATACCTATGAGCAATTACTTTGCTCATAGCCTTCAAAGAGAAAGCAAAGCACAGATGCTGGCCTGTTTAGGCAGTCTGGCTTGCTGGGGATCACACAGTAAGCAGGCAATTGTGCAGGCTGGAAAAACCAGTCATGGGAGGGAGAGAGATGCATGTCTACCCAAGAGAACTGATGGCTGAAAAGCCCGGAGCCTAATGTGGGTGCCCTTGGTGGACCACAGTTGGAGAATAAAGGTGCAGTTGCTCTGAACTGTGACACTATGGTCTCCCACTTTGATGAGGAGACGGAGCAACCAAAACTTGCACAAGGTGCAGCAGCAGCATATCTGAATTGAAATATTTCAGTTTTCAGGCATTCAGATTTTT